GCCACTGCCCCCTCGGAAACCACCACGGCCTGCACGGTTTCCTCGGGATGAGAAACTGCGCCCTCGGCTGCTGAATTGGCCACGGCTTCCACCAGAGTTTCCTCCTTGGTTGTTGCTGTTGTTGTTGTTGCCGTTGTTGTTGCCGTTGTTGTTGCCACTCTGGTAGTTTCCTCGGTGATGTGGCTGTCCACCTCTGGCGGTCTTCTGGTGGTGACCTCCACGATGAGCACCCCCTCCTGGCTTGAAGCAGTCACCAGACTTGTGTCCCCTAAATCCACAGTTATTACAGTTGTACGGGAAAAATCTGTTCATTCCTCGACCTCGACCTGTAACATTAAGAGCATTAAAACTCGAAGTGGGAGAAGTACCAGAGCCACCCCTCCTCTTCCGGTTGACTCCAGTACGTAGTTCGTACTCTTCAATTTTGTTTCTGATAAAGGTCAAGTTTATATTAGATGGGTTTGCCTCAATGGCTGAGGTCTGAGCCTCATACTCCCTAGGCAAGCTCCACAAAAAGTGGAAAGCCACGTCCTCCTCTGTGTGTGAGCCACCTGCATTCCGCAGGCCTCTGACCACTTTGTCAAAGCGCATGCAGTATGCGCCAAACTCCTCCTCAGAGGGTTTGTACTTGAGCATGGTGTACTCCTTAGAGAACACCGCTCTGCTGGCCATAGTGGCCCTTCCAAACCTGTCACAGACACTCTTCCACATCTCAGCTGCATTATCCTTGTCCTTCAGCAGCTCGAGATGGTCAGTGAGGCCCACTCCAAGCAGGCGACGGCAACGGTTCTCCTTCGATTCCAGGGCTGCGATCCTCTCCTCCTTTCGCCTCCTAGTAGCTGCATTATCGCCAGGGGCATCCAACCCCACAGCCTGGATCAGATCACCGACCGCCGTAGTGGACACGTCGAGGCAGCCTTCGTCCCGGAGAACGTTTTGCATCAAGAACTTCCAGTCATCGAAGTTTGACCCATCAAACTTGGGTACAGAGCTTCCACGCTCCATCGTTCTCACTGGTCAACAAGGACTGGAACACAAATACAAAGGGCAACCTAACCTCTTCACACGTGTTATCCTCACTTAACCTTTCTTACTGTGGTCCAGTGGCGCCAACAGGTGGGTGCAGGGTCTGCGGCCGCAGACCCTGTTTTGGGGTGGGTGGGTGGTCGCGATGGTGGGTGAGGGAGGGGGAAAGGCAAAGGGGAAAAGAGGAGGAAAGGGAAAAAAGAAGAAAAGGAGAAAGGGGGAGAGGAGTATTTCATGTGCGTCGTCCTAAGCGGCAATAGGTTAAGGGGTGAATGAGGGTGCCTGCTGGGTACGGTCCTTAAGTTTCTCGTCCCATTCAAGTTTTCAAATGATATGGATTCGTTCGTTAGAATCTGGAGTTGGCCACCCTCACTGTCAACCTTGACACCAAAGTTCCCTTTAACTCTACTTGTGCACTGAAATCGAACGTGAAGTGAATTCACCAAATTGAGACCGAAAATGTGGTCACCTTATTCTCCACTGCCAATCCAAGTGCAGGACAAGTACTCTACAAATCAAAGAGTGTACATGGTACGCTCTTACTGGAGCATGCCTGCAAGCACGCTCTAACTAGCGCATGCCTGCCAAGCATGCGGGTCATTCTACAGAAATGTTACAATTTGATGTCCCTGCCCCTTCCCAAAGAACAGAAAAAGGTCACGATGATGTCAAATGATTAGTGACAAGATGACATCATTGCCGACGGTCAAAGTTAGCGATTTTTGACGTCAAGTGCATGTCAATTGATATCCTTTTATTGAATATGATATCTTATGATGTGAATTTGACACAAAATACCGAGTCAAATTCTAGTCATGAGGGGTCACTGATGCAGAGCGTGACTAAATTTTATCAATTTTAGCTCACTTGACGTCAATATGACCTTTTTCTGTTCTCTGGGTTTGTGACGAAACGGTTCGTCCTAGAAAGACGCGGTTTGCGCGGTGAGATGGTGCTTTTTGTGCTTCAAAATGATCCACTATTGGGTTTGAAAGTTTCTGAGGTTTTCAGATGGCTGTGGCCTCCGGAAGGTGCAAAATGTAAACTCCGTGGCTGTCCCGATGCGTAGTTCACTAAGTTTGCGCCTCTCGTATGTCTAAACGAGACGCAGGACAATCATTCCCGACGGCTCTATTTGCTAAGGCACTTTTATACTTTAACTTAATCCCACTGACTTTAGTAAAAAGTTTGAAGCTTTGTGCCTGCACAGAATTAACTTTTGTCCCGAAGTTTTTACTTCCCTAAAATCCACATGTGCACTGTAACGAGTTTGGCACTACAGGAGACAAACGGGAAGTCGCAGCCTTAATCTGAAGACTGCAATGGATTCCGGATGAAAAAACACATCTAGCCACCAAGTTTGAAGGATGTGAGTCCAATGGCTAGCATCTAATTGGTACCCAAATTTCAAAAAGGGGGTCGCGTATTTTTTTTGTATGTAAACTCCGTACCCGATTTGCCACGGATCCCCTGTGCGTCAAACTTTCGAATTGTGGATAAAAACAATGCTTTGGTGGTCCTTCAGTCAGCTGTGTATGCGCGTTCTACTGTTCCAACTCATACGGCTGCAATCCAGGTATTTGCTTCAAAATGTAAACTCCGTAGGCGTCAATTTATGTAAACTCCGTAGACATTTCCCCTATGATTTCAGTGGAGAAAAATTTTTTTCTCGAAAAGTGTGACGCTTGATATCGTTTCGCATTCTGCATGCCGAAACAAGAAAAACAAGGCCAATATGAATGAAATCGGACAACTTTTACTTTTTCACGGTTTTAACTGCGAAATTGTAACATTTCTGTAGAATGACCCATGCACTAACTAGTGCATACATGCCATGTACACGCTAACTGAAGCATACATTTACTGCATAAGGGATAGGGAGTTTTCTGCATCAGGAAGCGTGTACATGGCATGTATGTACTAGTTAGTGCATGCTTGGCAGGCATGCGCTAGCTAGAGCGTGCTTGCAGGCATGCTCCAGTTAGAGCATACTATGTACACTCTTTGATTTGTAGAGTAGACACTTGTAGACGTAGAACAATCTGGCCTACGCTCGCCTACGCTTGCAAGTGTCAACCAGTTGTGTTCGAAGCTGAAGTGTCGACTACTCTTCGGCAAATTACTAATTGTTTCCTGCCGAAGCACCTCACTTCCAGCCGTCTGACCCTGTGTGATCTACTACACCTACAATGCGTCGGACACAACTCGGTCGACGCTTGCGATTGGGATCCTTAACTTATTTCTGAAGGGCATTAAAACGTTATCGTAAGCATTCAATGTGAAAAAACGCTCCGGAAAATTCTGTTTACGTGTGGCCATTCTTCGTTGCCCTCTTGTCAATATTCTGTGCACGGTTAACAGATGTTGTGGAATGATGACTGTAATCCTCACGAATAACTTAGTAAAATGACAGAAGTTCACTGTAAATTTACAAATAAAATCGTAATTTCATAAAAAAATTTCATTACAATCATTGTCTTCGTTTTTTTTTGTAAAATTACCAGGGATCCCTAACTTACCTCAAAAGTCCATCATAACGTTATCGTACGATTCACTTCTGAATTCTTTTCAAAAGGATAAGTTATATTTCTTGTGTCTCGAATTTCTGCGAAGAAACTTTTGGAAGTACTTCCAAAAGTCCGTACCCTTAACCTTTAACGAGCATACGTAGCAGTGTTAGTTAAATGTTAAGGATCGCTGAAAATTACAAAGATACTTGTGAATTTGATTTTGATGTAACTAGTGAACAAAATAACCTCTCACATCGTGGAGTGAAACCAGAAGAGATTTTCGTCGACCCACCATAAGTGTTGATCCTGGATAAGAAAAAAATATCATTTGAGCCCTTTTTCTTGAAATTTAAAAAAAATCTAAGTTTGTATCCAAACTTTTGAAATTTGATAACACTGATTTTGTCGTGATGAGATGGATCTGTTGATTTTAAAAGGTCATTTTGGTTGGATAGTTCTAAAATTTTACATCAATTTCCCTCATAGCTGCTTGTGGTCGTGGTCCCGTGTGCTGGCAACACGCGACGTTGGCCTGGGCAGCGCGTCACACTGTGGCAAAAAGCTACAGAAAATTCTGTAAACAGCTTGTGGTAATCCTCCGTAGCGTAGCCCCCTTATCAATATTCTCTGTAGGCTCTTGCAGCATTTTCCGTAGGACCGCACAGTATTCTCCGTAGGACCTTACAGTGATCTCCGTAGGACTATACAGTCTTCCAGGTCCTACGGAGAACACTGTGTGGACTTACAGAGAATACTGTACGGCCCTACGGAGAATACTGTAAGAGCCTACGGAGAATATTGATAAGAGGGCTACGGAGAATCCTGGCAAAAAAAATTAACAGAATTTTCCGTACCTTTTCGCCACAGTGCAAGCTGGGCGCTTCTTCGGATAATAAGACGCGTATTGCGTGGTCAAGACCATCTTTTTTTCTTGAGGTGGGAGGGTCTGACCACTTGCTGTGGTATTTACCAAGATTTTAATGTGGCATTGGCCACATTTCCACGTGTGGTCAATTCGGGTAACCGCATCTTAGGGCCTCCCGCACAATTTCTAAAGTCTGTTCCACACTTCGAAGAACATGAAGGACTTTGAAGTGTATAAGCTAGCTTCCCTAGCAAAGGGAGGCTCCTAACTGCGGCTTCGATAAAAACGACCCAATGACGGACATAAAAGCTTTTGAAAACGTTGGCATCATGCTCACTTCGCCCTTAATTTTGAGTAGAAGGTGTTGCGTTAGTTGAAGTAATTACGAAATGATTTGCAAGGAGCATTGTGAAAGCGTTGGTTCTTAGCTCGCTTCGCTCGCAAAAGTAGACTTAGCTGTAAAAGGCCGTCTGAAGAATCTGTAACGGAAAATACGCTTGCGAAAAAAAGAAAGGGGGGGGGAGGGTCTCTAGGGGTGGGTGGGTCCCTGTAAAGACTCGCGCCCCCTGTTAAAATTTCTGTTGGCGCCACTGCTGTGGTCGGTTATCACGTCCGCCTACGCCACGCTACTTTAATTCCCGAAGGGCTGCGTGTTTACAGATTTTACCTCGGCCGGGCTGAGCTACTTTAATTCCCAAAGGGCTGCTCACAACAATCCCACAGTCAGGCTGAGCACTTTAATTCCACAGGGGCTGCTCACACGTTACCTCGACTGGGCTGAACAAGAGATACCGGGTGATCAGTCCGTTCTCACAAATACAAAAACCAAACACACAAAAACTAGTGTACACAAACCCACGCTCACGTGGTGCCGGCCGGCGTAACAAAAACAAGACTACACAAGCTCCAAAACAAGGATACGTCAAATAGCAGAATATCCTGGGCCCATAACCTGTTGAATTATCAGGTTGTGTGAGGGCGTTCAGGGTTAAGAAGGATACTTAGTTCAAGTTGATAAAGTTGAGATATATTGTCCAGTAGAGGAAATACAACCGCACTCCAGCAGAGTCGAGAACCAAGTGAACGAGGAGACAGAGTACAGTTTACTCGCAGTACACAACATACAGATTCATATTCAGATGTAGGCAGGTTCAGGTGTTATGAGAATATGTACAGTACAGGTATGGGAAATTGCTATATTCAACAGAATCAGTTGTGCCCCCTCCAAAGAGACAGCATCCAGAAGCGGTTGTGCCCCCTCCGAAGAGGCATCAAGTGGTGAGTACACTCTGAAAACCTTACTAAGTACTGTAGGCCTTGTAAAGAGTAGTAGGTTGTTGTAATTAAGTATTTTTGAGCATACATTAGCTTGCAGAGGAAATACTTTGTAATTTACTATTTGTTTTTTTTTTAAACTTGACCGTGTAAGTAATGTATTTTTAATTTTGTTTTCTTATGTTGTAGGATGATTGCCCCCCTAGTACCAGCAGAACTGTTGCAGCGGGATCATTTGCTGCGAGCACGAAGGTCAATCACATTTCCAATATAAAGTTCGTTGAAGATATGGTAAGCTACATAAATATTTTGTCTCACTCCCTTCTGTTTTTTTTTTTTGTTTCAAGATCATAATTTAATATTGCATTTTTCTTCTCTGTAGAATGTTGAAAGTGTCCTTCGGGCTGATTCTGTGGGAAATGAAATTGTCGAATCTTATCAAGCCCATGATTGTGATGATCCTGCCAGCCTGAGTGAATCACAAAGGCACAAGATAGTTCAAGTGTTGATTGAGAACATTCGTGCTAATACAGAGAAGTAAGTGATGTTACCATTGCATTTTGCTTGTTGTCACATGAGGGGTCTGCCACTGACTAAAGGCCAAGCATGTGCATGTACAATCAGTGCAAGTAGTGGCAGAGCCTTTCGGCACATTGTGTCCATTCTATTAATGTATGAATTTTTCAGTTTCGATTTTAAGCTGCTGGCCATTGTGAGTAAGAAAATTGTTGAGCTGTTTCCATCTGAGTGTGAGGTATGTACTACAATTAGTACAGCTAGCTTTTATCTGCATTGCTTACCGTGGATACTCATTCTAATTCTTATTTCCAGGCAACCTACTACATTGGTCCAAAGGAGCAAGGCCCAAAACAGGTCACAGCCCTTGGTAGGCTTTCTAATCGACTACGTAACTGTCGCTCCAAACCTAAGCCTAAGAATCCTTCACTGCCAGACAAGATTGCCAGTAACTTGGGGTCTATTCTTGAGAAACGTAAGTGACAACATTTGTTGCTCCTGTTTAAGAAAGGGATTTTTCGTATGATGTTTTTTATTTTCTGAAATTATTGAATTTGGGCGTCACATTGTGCACTACAAGCATGGCAGTGCTCGTCTCTCATGTTACCATTGAAAGTGAATGTTTCACACACAGAAGGTTTTGCCACCCTTGTTAGTGTACTGAAGTGAAGGGAAGAGCCCTTCTTTCCCTTTGAATGCATTTTTCTGATTCTGATAGTAATTGTTTGTTTCTTTATTTTTAGCAATCACTGAGGAGATTGAAGAAGCCAAGGCCTGGCTTTCCACAGGACGCTGCCCTTGGCCAGAGGTATTGAGGAAGTGGACAGCCACTGCACCACTACGCTTCAAAGCACTGTTCCATGGAGACGATGATTACATCAACTCATACCTTAAAGAGTGGCCCGTTCTGACTCATAAGTCAGGTTTTGAGCTGGTAAGGTTCTTTTGATTTTAGTACGTTATTTTTCTTCCTCTACATTAAGCTATTTTGTTGATCGCTCAACTGAACCCTCACTTGGCCCTTCCTAATTTTTGCTCCATTTTACAGTTTCTGGCAGATTTTGCCCTTCTGTATCCTCGAAGTGCTGAGCTACTTCACCTACGCTGGGATAGGTTCGTGAGAATAACCAAGGATATTGCTTTTAAAGACATTAAGGACAAGAATGGCAAGGATTCCTTGAAACTGCTGCAGCAAAACCCGAACAAAGGTAAATGGAATATTCTGTCCAGCAAGTGCTGCTTTGCCGCTGTCAATCATGATCTTTACTTCCAGAGTATATGCTAGAAGCTAAGATGTCTCGGGGAAACTGAGTCAGAAATTTGCAGGGCATTCATGTTTGCGCTTAGTTTTCAAGCTTTCATGTTAAATCTCTTTGCAACCAGTGGACTTTTTTAAATTGGCCTATTTACACTGTACAAGATTGACTTGGCGAGACTTTTAATTGTTTTTTATATTATATAAAATTAAACTTGAAAATTCAGGTTCTTTTTAAGCAAATTTTTCTTGGAGTAGGAAAAGCAAGGGACATCTAAGTACCTGTAATTTATTTTAATGTATGGAATTACCTTTCCTTTGCAGAATCTGAAGCAGCCATTGTGCTGACACTGCTGCCCCACATTAGACCTGGTCACAAGGCATCTTTCAAAGGGGAAGTACGTAAAGTTTCTGCTCTGGAAGCACGCAAGAGTTTCTTTCTGCATCTTACGGTAATTATCTTCAGTAAACCTTGCTTTTGCTGTATACATCAGTTGCACATTTGTGCAGATTTTCTCATCCTTTATTCTACTTTCAGGTTGCTGCAGACTTTAAACGGAAAGTCAAGGAACACAGGCTTTCTGTTGCTGGACCAGGAGGAAGTCCTCTTTTGGTAGTTGTTGGTCCAACCCTTCTGGACATAAAGTCTGTGTATGTTTCTGTGGCTGATCTGGACTACAAAGTGGACAGTGTTGTCGAAGGACTGGACATTTTCTTCAAATCCCATCACGCCCTCCACACATCCTATCACTGCGCCAGCAGTCACATCTGGACTACATTGCAGAGGGCAGTGTATTCCTTTGAAACGGAGTGGGACTGTAAAAACGATATAAAACATAGCTGGATACATGCTTACAAGTTTAATTAACCAATAATTTCCAAGTCTGAATGAATGTAAATTTTTTTTTGGTGTACAACATTATTTTGTAATACCTCTAGTCAGGTTGTTTATTTAATTTATAGCTGAAGTTAAGTTATTAAGTTTTTGTAGTTTTTGTTGATTTTTTTGTTATTATGTTTGCCTGCTTCATCTGTCCGAATCTATATGGCTCTATAGAAGCCCTTAAATGCCACTATTTATTTGGCCCTGTTGTAATAATTTAGCAGTATTTAGTCTGATGTAAGTGGATTATAGGAGAGCGAAGAAAACGTTGTACACAGTATGGCGGCTGGACAAGTAGTGAGCTTTTTTTTCTTATTCCGGATATAGTTTGCTGGAGAACAGTGCATCATGGGTGCATCAGGAAACAGTGACTATGATAATTGCACAATGAGTCTAATTGGTCAGTATGAGAAATATATACAGCTTGGGTCAGGCGGGAGTTTTAAAACAGGTACACACATTTATACAAAGGATTAGTTATTTACAATGTTCACTATAGGTACAACATATAGTTAGTCATTACTTAAGAATCAGAAGATTAATTTTTACAACACCCTCCTTTAATCTGATGGCATTCTTAAGTTTATGACACAGTTGTGATGTTTTTCCCGACCTAATGCCTTTGTAAGTATGTCAGCTGGCATAATCTCTGTTGACATGTGCTCTATCCATAACTGCCCGTCAGCCACACAATCCCTCACCAACTGCATTCTACATCCATAATGCTTTGTCCTTGCACTGAACGCACTAGAGTAAGCCTGCTTTATTGCACTTGTATTGTCATTGAACAGTGTTACTCGTTGATCCCCACATTTGAAAAGTTTATTCATTAAATCGTTCAAATAAATTGACTCCTTAGTAGCTTCAGTGATTGCGATATACTCAGACTCAGTTGAGGACTGAGCTGTTAGCTTTTGCTTTTTACTTTCCCATGAAATTAAGTTATTGTCCAGCGTAAAGCTGTAACCGCTGTAAGACCTGTAGTCGTCAGGATTTCCTGCCCAGCTAGCATCAGCAAAACCAACCAGACAAAAGGATGGGTTTGAAGATCTTTTATAGTTTAGTCCCAGCCTTGGGTATCTGTATAAATATTGCAACACTCTTTTAGCTAACATCCAGTGGATTTTTGAGTGACAGTTGTTAAACTGTCCCAAGAAACTTACTGCATAGGAAATGTCTGGTCGAGTGCAGACACTTAGGTATAACAAACACCCAACGAGCTCTTGATAGGGCTCATCGCCCTTTTCTGTGGGCTTTAGATCTCTAAGTTTCAATTTTTCTTCCATTGGAGTATCCGCACCCTTGCAATCAGTCATGTTGAATTTTGACAAGATTGTATTTATGTAGTCCTCTTGGTGAAGCAACAAAGTTCCCTCCTTCCAGTCACGAACCATTTTCATGCCTAGACAGTCCTTTGCTTCTCCCAGATCTTTGATTTTAAAATGAGACATTAATCCCTTTAACAATTCATGTTTATCACAATCGTTTCTGTAGATAAGATAGAAGTCATCAACATATAAGGCAATTATAATTATAGTATTCTCATTTTCCTTAATGTACACACAAGGTTCGTCTGGAAGGTTTATGAAACCCAGTTGTTTCAGGACTTTGTCGGCTTTCTGATACCAGCTTCTTGCGGCTTGCTTCAACCCATACACAGCCTTATTTAATTTACAAATCATGCCCTCACAGCCATCTGCAATGAAACCTTCTGGCTGAGCCATGTAAACGGTTTCTAACAAATCTCCGTTTAAGAAGGCTGTTTTTACATCTAAATGATCAATCTTTAAGTCATGATTCACAGCGACTGAGAATAGAATTCTCAGAGTAGTTCTCCGTACCACTGGTGCATATGTTTCAAAACAGTCCTCACCGTATGTTTGAGTGTATCCCTTTGCCACAAGCCTTGCTCTGTAGAGCAATGTCCCATTAGGGTTGATTTTTCTTTTAAACACCCATTTGTTTCCTACAATTTTTGATCCTGGCTTTGGTTTTTCCAGAGACCATGCCTTGCAGTCATTGAATGAATCCAGCTCATCAAGCATAGCTTCAGACCAAAGCATTCCTTCGGGACCACTTAGTGCCTCCCGAGCTGTTTTTGGGACATCTAGACTTGTGTTTGAAACTTGTCTGTCCGATATACTGCCTTGGTTTGAGGCGTATTTTACTTTGTTCTCAAAGGAACTTTGGCTGTCAGGATTGCTGCCCTGTTTTGATGCCTTTTTAATTTTATTTTCCTTTTCTATCCGTGTTTGGATCTGACTTAGTATAGAGAGGAGAGCCCTTCTCTTTCTGTCCTGAGTTATGAAGTCAGGAAATTTCTTTGGAGTTCTAATTCTTTTTCCAAGAGTTTCAAACTCATGGTTGGTTGAGACTGAACTAATGGATTCTGTGTCTGTTACTGATGATAAACTACTATCAGTTTCATTGTCGCTTCGTTCGTCAGATATACTGGGAACACCAGTTGTTGAGTATATTTCTGTTTCATCATCTGAAAGTGATGTTACAGTTACTTGAGTGAACGTTGGAATTGTATCAGACAGCTCTCCCATTTCCCTTATTTTTATATTATCTATTCCAGATTTCAGCTCTCTAGCTGGGAACCTGCTTTCATCAAAGATAACACTTCTCTCCACAAAGTAGTGGTGAGGTTGGTTTAAATCCATTAGTTTGAAACCTTTCTTTTCTTCATCAAAACCCATAAAAACACAGGTTCTATTTCTATTTCCTAATTTCTTACTTTTCTTTCTGCTTACATGAACAGAAGCAAAGCACCCAAATATTCTAAGACTTTCTACGTTTGGTTTTGAGCCAGTCCAAGCATGAAGTGGAACCTTTCCCTCAACTGATTTTGTTGGACTAAGATTCTTTAAGTAAACTGCCATTTCAAGTGCGACAGCCCAATACTTAATATCGAGACCTGCCTCCTTGAGTAAGGCTCTAACGGTTTGCAATAATGTGCGATTGGCTCTCTCAGCCACTCCATTTTGTTCTGGAGTGTCTACTACAGAAAGTTGTCTGATAATTCCTTCATTCTTAAAATGCTCATTGAATTTGTTGTTGCAATACTCAGTCCCATTGTCTGAACGAACAATTTTTATTTTGTTTTCAATGTGTCTTTCGACCATTGTTTGATACAAGATGAATTTTTCAAACACCTCATCTTTGGTTTTTAATAGTGCGACCATTGTGTATCGGCTCATGTCATCTATGAAGGTTACAAAATATCTGTAGCCTTCCCATGATCCCACAGATCCAGTGTCAGTCACTTCGCATACATCTGAGTGAATTATTTCGAGCAGTTTGGTTGCTCGGTTGGCTCCGCCCTTTGGCAATGGAGCCCTTATTTGTTTGGATTCCAAACATATCTGGCACGGGTCTGTACCAGCTGTAATGTTTGATGTGATGCCATCCACAAGACCATTTTTTAGTGATGAGAGACTATTTTTGCCAGTGTGGCCAAATCTTTTATGCCATAGTGAATACATTTTATTGGATGAGTTAGCCATAAGTGCTACATTATTTTCCTTTATATTCAAATTAACTTTGTAAGTACCATTACTTTCTATTGCCTTTAAAATTGGTTTACCTTTAATTGTAATGTCCCCTTTTCGGAAGACTCCACCATAATTATTTATAAAAACTGTGACCAAGTTGCTTTTGGAAATGGTGCTAACGGAAAGCAAATTGCTACTTAATCCTGGAACATGTTTTACTTGAATTTCAGAAAGACCATTGTGACATTCTGGATCTAGTTGGATGGCACCCACACCTTCAGTGTGAAGAATTTGATCTCCAGCACACTCTATTGCCTCTCTTGGACAGGCTTTGTAGTTATGTATGCATTTTGGATCACTCAACAAGTTGTCGAAAGAACCACTATCAAGATAGAAGACACTGGGTTTTATTTCGTTTTCTGCTGCTTTCATGACCTTAGGAGGAATAACAGGTACATTTGAATCACACACTCTTTTGGCTATTGCCACTTTCCACTTATAGGGTCCCTCCTTACCAGAGGATCCCTCCTTACCCGAAAAACCATCCTTATTCTTTGCAGCAAACTCGGCAATCCGGTTATTAGGATTGTCCGGGTTGTGCCAACAGACCTTTTCAGGATGGTTTTTGTTGTTACAAAACCGGCAGGTGTACTTATGCTCGGAGGGCGCCTGGGAGTCCTTGTTGTTTTGGTTCTGCGTCGTCTGCTGCCACGGCCCCTTGGTGTGACCGCCTCGACCGCCGCCACGGCCGCCTCGATGTCCTCGTCCGCGTCGGTTTCCACCGCCACCGCGATGACCGCCATGGGAGCTCGCTGGGTACGGCTGCGGCCGCCATCTTGGATACGAGTTGGCGCCGCTTTTTGAACCTTGCTGCTCTGATGCTGCAGCGACTCCGGCCTTGTTGGTCTTCTCAGCCTCCTCCTTGATGTGCTCCCGCATAAGGTTCTCCACCACGGTGCTGAACTTCAGTACGGGCTTGTTGTTTGCGTCCATGGTAGCACAGGTCCTTTCAATGACTGTTCTAAGCATCCTGTGGTGCTCATCTTGCTTGAGTCCCTTGAGGAGAACACCTGATGCAACATTGTCGGCAAGTCCGATCCCCGATGCCTCCATTTTTTCTACCAACTCTTTGACGGCGTAGATGTACTTGTCCATCGATGAGTACTTATCTTGGCGCGCGTCCAGAAGCCGGTACAGAAGTGCGAGTTGCTGATGGATGCCGGACCCTTCGTACACGTTGCACAGAGCCTTCCAAGCCTCCTTCGCACTGGTGGCAGATCTCACGTACTGGAGCGGAGAATCTGCCAAGGATAAGCAGATTTTGGATCGAGCCCGGTGGTCCCGTTGAGCAGCCGCGGGGTCAGCCGGGTCATGGTCTTGGGTGAGGCAGTCAGTGAGCCCCTCCACGCCAAGCTGCATTTCGACTCGGAACTTCCAGTTTGCCCAATTTTCTTCGCCGGTGAGTGGTGGAATCGGGGGAAGATTCCC